CACTGTGATAGTGAGAGATTATAGACCCAAGGGCTACCAGATTTCCATAGCCTTAACTCTTGCTTCGTTCAGAACTGCTCGTCCAACTCGGGTGGATGAGCAAATGGTCCAGAACCCGGCTAACCTGTCAGGACAAATCATCAACTCTGACCTCCATTAAACAAAATGTTAGACAAGATGTTTATATATATATTCCCTGGCATTAAAATAGCGCATTATATATCTTCCCCCTCACTTCCCCTCATTATCCTAACATTTCACGGCCTTCGAATCCATTTGTCTGCGCAAATGAACGATTTACAAAATGACGAAATGTAGCAAATACGTTGCTACAAGCTATGGCTATCTGCTAAATACAACAGAAGCGGTTGTCATTCCCTGTATGAACAGGAAATTACCAAAAACGTCGTTCCACTACCTCTACTCGCACTTTGCTCGCAATCTCACTATTCACCTTCCCAAATATATCTCAGACAAACGCTGTAAAACAGGAGTGCGTTTCTTGAAGAAAGTAAAATGAAAGAACCAAATAGAATGTTAATGATTCATAATAGTTGATGAAAATGATATAAGAACCAAAAATAAATACAATTTTGTAGTGATGTTGGGTTTGCATGTGTTTGAACTTCATTTTAGACACTGAAAAATATGAATGTGCATAGAAAAATTATTATTCATTGATAGTAATGTCTTTTTATTTCATGATGCATCAGGGTTACGAGAAGAACAGTGACCACGAGGAAAATTATGAAGGTTCCCCTGGAGAGACCTACAGTTTCTACAGGATATTAATGTTGTCCTTCGCTCTGCTCCTCTCCCTTCTTCTCAAGATATCACCCCCCCCCCCCTCAAAAAGTACACAAAAAGTGTTGATTTCCAGGAAACCTATTTTATTATGTCAAATCTGAGACAAACCCATGTGTTTATAATTTGCGAGTAAGCCCACGTGCATATGTAATTTGTTTGTATTTTAATGGTTTGGGGTTTTGTATTAGTTGTAATGATAATTGTGAATTTGTTAATATTAGTGAGTTATTTGTCTATGATGTAATTAAAACCTTGTTTTATGGTATATAATTCTGCATGACTGACTTCTGTTTCTGACTGCAATTTTGATATAGTTATGATTTTATTCTGCATAAAAATTGCTATTGAGATCGAGTCTGGTTCTTTTATCTTGGAGCCGTCGGTGAAAATTCTAATAAAGTTTTTATGTGTAATATTTACTAATTCTCGGTATTGTTTTTGAATGATGATCTGAGGAGTATTTTTTGTTATATTACCCATAAAGTTTGTTTAGGTATTCTCATCTATATCATACCATGGGGGTATTGGGAGATATATTTGGTATTACATTTTGAGTTATATCTAGATTTTAGCATATTCACGTCTCAGTAGCTTTTAGAGAGGTATGTTATTTTATACTTTTTGACATTGTGTTTGGTTTATTTAAGATTTTTGTCATTTGTATGCATACAAAGTCTTTAATTTAACTAAAAAAATACATTGATTTGCTTTTTGTTTGTTTTCAGATCCCAATTATTTGCCTTTTTATTAGCTTTTGCCCTTCTATTTCTGTTTTATTGAATGATATTGAGGAACGTCACTGTGTTTCGTCTTTTTCTGGTATTTGGTTTCCTATTTTCATTTGGAATATTCTTTTTAGTAAACTATTTAGCTATATTGGACGTTTTACTGTTATCTCTAATCATAAAATTTTTATTAACAACTCCATCACTGGTCATATCAATTTTTTTTCTAAATCAATACATGCTCTCAAGGTATGTTTTTTTTCTGTGAATGCTTTATCTATATTGTTATTTATTGTGTATAGTACGTCGATAGCATTTCTATGTCCAGAACCAATTAAATCACTAACCTGTTATGTTGTAACCATTTAATCCTTTTTGCTATTATGTTTTCGAATATCTCCTCAATACAGGAAATTCTGTTAATAAATCTGTATGACTTTGCTTCTGATTTCTTTTTTCCGTTTTTATTATATGATTTATTATTACGTCTTTTTTTCTTCAATGGATATTCACCCCTGATCCATTGTCGGTTTAGATTTATTAATGTTGATTCTAATATATTGTTTGGGACGTTCATATAAAATCCATACGGAATTTCATTTGGTCATTCTTTATTAGTGTTTTTAATTCCACAATGGTTATTTCTTTATTCATTTCATTTGTATTTTGTTGATCGAATAGTCTTTTTTAATCTTTTTACATGCAGTTTTCATAATTTCTTGAAAAAAAAGTTTGTGTGTAATATTTGTTAATGGCAAATCTTTTTCTATATTTAAACATTCCATTAAGGTTGTCCTTCCTGATAAATTCTTAAAGAAATTCCATACCTTTCACAATCTTTAAAACTTAATGTGGCACAGAACCTTCCCCAAGATTCCATTTTTTGTTATGCAATTATAAACCTAGCTTTCGCTATTAAATAATCTTTCAGATTCTACTTGGTTTTCTTGTGAAGGTTTTTTCTCCTTTCATTAAAGGCTTTAATCTTCTCTTTTATGATGTTAAAACATGGTTAATGGTTAAAAAATGGTTAAAACAAATGTAATGGACATCAAGGAAATATAGCACTATGGTAAAGCATAGTGGCGAAAATGGTTTGAATTAATGAGTTAATAATTACAGAGATTTAGAGGCTAAACTATTATAGGGTATGAAGGTATTGAAAAGGGTAGAAGAGGGGGAGCTGATGGGGTATAGTATAAGGTAAAGGTTGTTAGAATGGGAAGGAGTTACGGGAGTTGGGAAATTAGATCAAATGGAGGAAGAAGTTGTTAAAGGAGAAGGTAGAGGATTCCGAAAGGATGTCCAATGGGTTGTGGGATCGGGGAAGTGGTAATAAGTCAGGAAAAGCAAAGGTGTTGGGTTGCTGTAAAACTCTTTTATGGTGTCATTACTTTCTTTGTTTCACCACGACTTGTTTGGTGTGTCTCTGTAACCACGCGTTTCTAAGTGAAAATATTTTGGTGCATTTTTTATGAACTGATTTTTTAAGAGACGTTACGTTTTCTGTTTCTGTACTGTATAGGTCTTTTTGACTGCATATCCATTCTTTAGTTTACTGCCATTTTTTCTCCTTCAATGCTGATTTTATAATTATGGGCAGACAACCACTGTGAAGTCCTGTTTTTGTTTGTAAATGGCTTAGGAATGGCGATCGGAATATAAGTTCTATAGTGGATTATTTTCCAGTTTTTTGAGTTTGTGGCTTTTGGAGGTTCCAGTGTAGTGGAAGGTTAAGTATCAGCTTCCCTGACAGCATCTTGTTTTACTGAATTTCCCTCGCTTCTGAACAACCTCTTCTACGATAAAGAGTTGGGGTTAATTCTGAGGGTTGTCGCACGGTACAATATAACGAAAAAGGTATACACAAAATCCCTAATTCAGGCTGGAGCACGAGGGTTTCGGCGCGGCCTCCCCGCAGGTGTTTCGCGGCAGGCAGCAGGTGGTCGCTGCGCTACAGAGGATTCATGAAACACCCAGGATGATCACTGGACACACGGGGAGTTTTGAAGTGGGCTCGAAGGGTATATAAACTAATATATGAAAAAACTTATCTAGATCAACCATATAAGGATACAAAAACAGGAACAGATTGCGAGTTTTTTTCTTTATTATACTGAAACAAAATGTACTGTAATCATTGTGTGTGTGTGTGTGTGTGTGTGTGTGTGTGTGTGTGTGTGTGTGTGTGTGTGTGTGTGTGTGTGTGTGTGTGCACGCGCGTCCATAGGCATTGGTCGTGGACACTAAATGTTCAAGGGGTTGGACATTACCACTGCACATAATGAGAGCACCGAACACCCCATCAAGGATATGAATATATTGCAGACTTTTTCAAAAAAATATATTTATAAAATACCTTTCATTTTGTACCCGCTAGCTGCGTCCTCTCCGAAGTAATGAAGAGCAAATCCTGGACGACTTCATCTGCTATCAGGAGAACGCCCCTCCTTCACCCAGCTTGCCCGCTGCGTGAAGGCGCCGCCGCACAGTCCACACACTGCAGGGCAGCTTCAGCTCCTTGGTCAGCTTCACGGCCGGGGTCAGTGGCCTTGCGAGAGCACGCTCCACGATGGCCCTGTTCTGCTTTTGGCTGGTGACTTGGGGCCGTCCGCAGCGGCGCTTCGTCTTGAGCGAGCCCTCCTGCCTCCAGCGCTTAATCCACTTGTGAACGGTGGTTCGGTGGACGCCCAGCTGTCGCGAGATCTCCACTTTGGACTTGCCCGCCTCCCACAGCCCGATGATCCGGCCGCGGTCGCTGACGACGCTGAGCGCATTGGCCCGGCTGCCCGTCACCTCGAAGATCTGAAAAAAAAAAACTGCAGCCTATACTAGCCCATAGGATAATCCGGCCCTGCATAAAGGTAAACTGTAGTATTCTCCATGTCAGACATTGACTCAAGTTTCGTCATTTTATCATAATGAGCAATTTAAGCACCAATAGACGTTCTCCGCATAATAAACAATGATACACGCAGTCTATCTGACCTTGACCCAATATGGTAGTACGTATTGTTTGTGTTTTTCTTGGAATAGAAAACGAGTTATTCTACATGGTTGAGCATGCATTCTACTAGTGCTACTAACAAGCGGGAGAGTTGTAAAATTAATAATAATAAAAAAGAGGGGAAAAGAGGAGACATTTTTGTGACACAAGTCTATCTCAAAACATTTACTCAACAAGATATCGTTACTGTACCCGATATTGTTGGACTATACACGTTCTGCGGAATTCGTGACATAACCTTTACGGAATTCCTCGCCTAACTTCACATTAAAAAGGAAAAGACTGACATATAAGACCATGAGCGTATACGAATGAAATAGTACTATAACACCAAAAACAAATATATAAATAAACACGCGTTACCTCTACGTTTAACAACGTATCATACAATTTGTAAAGTTAACATTAATCCCCAAATCTCTTTTGAAAGCGGACTGAAAGTGCTCCTTTTTCTAGACCACCATGGATTTATTCTCCTTCCCTTTGACACTCAACAGTTTTGGCATCAAATTATAGGCTATATAATACACATTTCATCGTATCTATTAATAGGTGAGAAGAGGTGATATGTTGTATTTGAAATACTCCCACGATACGCCATTACCTTTTATTTCATTTACCTTATTAATTTGAGTTGGTTTTGTAACAGGTTGATACCGGAAACAGGTCGATGATGATGGCGTATTTACAAGGGCTTGGCTAACTTTGCTATCTACTATTTTAGGAATCATTATGTAATGTACGATTATATCTCCCTCAATAGGTCTCAAGGCTCGGATTTCACTCTCGATGGAATTATGCTCTGGTTTTACGAGCTCTTTTGCTTCCTTCGTGAATTTTATACGAAAAGGGACGACAGTAAACAGGAGAAGATGGCACTGGGTTTTGCCTTGCCACGACATTCGTCTCTATACAAATAACCTTAATGGGACATAATGAACGAAGCAAGCATTTGAATTTCGCCCACATCTGGACTTGCTTCATTACCTTCATGGAACAGAGCGAGTGACTTCCGCTTCCATGCTTAAAAACGATCTCTAATGACAAAGGCCTCTTAGCTCGGGTTTCCTTCAATATATCAACTGCCTGTCTTTATGAAATAGACGTAAGTGGGTGTGATCTATGAGGTTCAATTCAGTCTCAGTAATGGCAGAAGGATGACACTGCTTCTTTGCTTCATATCTTTACTTAGGCACAAACTTTTATTCTTTTCAAACCTGCTTTTAAAGGATTTAGCTTTCTTCCATCGTTTATAAACATCACATTTGAAAGCAGCAATGTCCAATTTTTCAGAGTTTTCATGCTGCTTTAAACATGGATAATACATTTTCAAATGAGTGTTCTGGTTTAGAGGAAATATATCTGTCAATGACTGCTTTCCTAGTAAAACCCGCCATCCACAATAAAAGGAAAACGACATAACATAATTGTTTCCCCGTAAAACAGTTTTTAAATTTGATAGGGGTAACTATTTCAAAATTGCTGTCGGGCGAGATTGTTTTCGATTTTTATCTATTTGTGCTATTTTTTTCCAATAAGCATCAGTAGGGATTATCTACACACTATTACCATTATCATTTCCAGCAAATTATTCCACTATTCCTAACATACATAACTTACAGTACATCAAATAACCAGGCGTTTTGTGGTGGTTAAATGGCCATTTCAAGGGATATGAACTGGCTGGTATTACGTAAGAACAAAGTGTCAAAATCAGTTCAAGACTCTTAGAATTAGGGTTGTTGCAACTTGTGGGGGACTTTGGGGGATTCGTTCTCAATAACATTTTATATGATCGTATCTTAGACAACGTTGGTGGCATCATCTTTAAGCTCGTATAATTTAAATTTATTGCATTTACTTAACGTTGTCTATAAAAATGACAATTTTTTCAATAAACTGTTAGTTCAATAATTTTAGAAAGAAAGAAAGAAAGAAAGAAAGAAAGAAAGAAAGAAAGAAAGAAAGAAAGAAAGAAAGAAAGAAAGAAAGAAAGAAAGAAAGAAAGAAAGAAAGAAAGAAAGAAAGAAAGAAAGAAAGAAAGAAAGAAAGAAAGAAAGAAAGAAAGAAAGAAAGAAAGAAAGAAAGAAAGAAAGAAAGAAAGAAAGAAAGAAAGAAAGAAAGAAAGAAAGAAAGAAAGAAAGAAAGAAAGAAAGAAAGAAAGAAAGAAAGAAAGAAAGAAAGAAAGAAAGAAAGAAAGAAAGAAAGAAAGAAAGAAAGAAAGAAAGAAAGAAAGAAAGAAAGAAAGAAAGAAAGAAAGAAAGAAAGAAAGAAAGAAAGAAAGAAAGAAAGAAAGAAAGAAAGAAAGAAAGAAAGAAAGAAAGAAAGAAAGAAAGAAAGAAAGAAAGAAAGAAAGAAAGAAAGAAAGAAAGAAAGAAAGAAAGAAAGAAAGAAAGAAAGAAAGAAAGAAAGAAAGAAAGAAAGAAAGAAAGAAAGAAAGAAAGAAAGAAAGAAAGAAAGAAAGAAAGAAAGAAAGAAAGAAAGAAAGAAAGAAAGAAAGAAAGAAAGAAAGAAAGAAAGAAAGAAAGAAAGAAAGAAAGAAAGAAAGAAAGAAAGAAAGAAAGAAAGAAAGAAAGAAAGAAAGAAAGAAAGAAAGAAAGAAAGAAAGAAAGAAAGAAAGAAAGAAAGAAAGAAAGAAAGAAAGAAAGAAAGAAAGAAAGAAAGAAAGAAAGAAAGAAAGAAAGAAAGAAAGAAAGAAAGAAAGAAAGAAAGAAAGAAAGAAAGAAAGAAAGAAAGAAAGAAAGAAAGAAAGAAAGAAAGAAAGAAAGAAAGAAAGAAAGAAAGAAAGAAAGAAAGAAAGAAAGAAAGAAAGAAAGAAAGAAAGAAAGAAAGAAAGAAAGAAAGAAAGAAAGAAAGAAAGAAAGAAAGAAAGAAAGAAAGAAAGAAAGAAAGAAAGAAAGAAAGAAAGAAAGAAAGAAAGAAAGAAAGAAAGAAAGAAAGAAAGAAAGAAAGAAAGAAAGAAAGAAAGAAAGAAAGAAAGAAAGAAAGAAAGAAAGAAAGAAAGAAAGAAAGAAAGAAAGAAAGAAAGAAAGAAAGAAAGAAAGAAAGAAAGAAAGAAAGAAAGAAAGAAAGAAAGAAAGAAAGAAAGAAAGAAAGAAAGAAAGAAAGAAAGAAAGAAAGAAAGAAAGAAAGAAAGAAAGAAAGAAAGAAAGAAAGAAAGAAAGAAAGAAAGAAAGAAAGAAAGAAAGAAAGAAAGAAAGAAAGAAAGAAAGAAAGAAAGAAAGAAAGAAAGAAAGAAAGAAAGAAAGAAAGAAAGAAAGAAAGAAAGAAAGAAAGAAAGAAAGAAAGAAAGAAAGAAAGAAAGAAAGAAAGAAAGAAAGAAAGAAAGAAAGAAAGAAAGAAAGAAAGAAAGAAAGAAAGAAAGAAAGAAAGAAAGAAAGAAAGAAAGAAAGAAAGAAAGAAAGAAAGAAAGAAAGAAAGAAAGAAAGAAAGAAAGAAAGAAAGAAAGAAAGAAAGAAAGAAAGAAAGAAAGAAAGAAAGAAAGAAAGAAAGAAAGAAAGAAAGAAAGAAAGAAAGAAAGAAAGAAAGAAAGAAAGAAAGAAAGAAAGAAAGAAAGAAAGAAAGAAAGAAAGAAAGAAAGAAAGAAAGAAAGAAAGAAAGAAAGAAAGAAAGAAAGAAAGAAAGAAAGAAAGAAAGAAAGAAAGAAAGAAAGAAAGAAAGAAAGAAAGAAAGAAAGAAAGAAAGAAAGAAAGAAAGAAAGAAAGAAAGAAAGAAAGAAAGAAAGAAAGAAAGAAAGAAAGAAAGAAAGAAAGAAAGAAAGAAAGAAAGAAAGAAAGAAAGAAAGAAAGAAAGAAAGAAAGAAAGAAAGAAAGAAAGAAAGAAAGAAAGAAAGAAAGAAAGAAAGAAAGAAAGAAAGAAAGAAAGAAAGAAAGAAAGAAAGAAAGAAAGAAAGAAAGAAAGAAAGAAAGAAAGAAAGAAAGAAAGAAAGAAAGAAAGAAAGAAAGAAAGAAAGAAAGAAAGAAAGAAAGAAAGAAAGAAAGAAAGAAAGAAAGAAAGAAAGAAAGAAAGAAAGAAAGAAAGAAAGAAAGAAAGAAAGAAAGAAAGAAAGAAAGAAAGAAAGAAAGAAAGAAAGAAAGAAAGAAAGAAAGAAAGAAAGAAAGAAAGAAAGAAAGAAAGAAAGAAAGAAAGAAAGAAAGAAAGAAAGAAAGAAAGAAAGAAAGAAAGAAAGAAAGAAAGAAAGAAAGAAAGAAAGAAAGAAAGAAAGAAAGAAAGAAAGAAAGAAAGAAAGAAAGAAAGAAAGAAAGAAAGAAAGAAAGAAAGAAAGAAAGAAAGAAAGAAAGAAAGAAAGAAAGAAAGAAAGAAAGAAAGAAAGAAAGAAAGAAAGAAAGAAAGAAAGAAAGAAAGAAAGAAAGAAAGAAAGAAAGAAAGAAAGAAAGAAAGAAAGAAAGAAAGAAAGAAAGAAAGAAAGAAAGAAAGAAAGAAAAAAAAGAAAAAAAGGTCATGTGGTCTAACAAATTCTGAAGAGGGACATCAGCTTTCATACTGCTGAATGCAACACTCGATGGATAGCATGCCTTCTTAGCCTTGAGGACTTTATGGTATGGTGGATAAAGAGTGCAATTTTTCTCTTCATGGGCTTCCGAAGGTAAATGCTTCTGCTCATACCTGTATTTATCATCAAAAGAGCCATATGTGGTAGAAATGGAATTTTAAAATGATTGTCTATTCTATCTATCAACTTCCTGGAACTTGGTGTAGTTGTCGCATTACTGTTCCCATATTTTTGAAGTTTTATCTGAGTGTCACACGTGAATTCATCAGTAGAATAGTCTTCTTTAATATTTCCAGTCTTTCTCCTTTTTGTCCTTTTGCTTGCACTGGGGAAGTCAACCAAAGATCTACCTTGTTTTGATGTTCTTGGTGTTAAAAACATATCTTGATCACAATTATCTGATGTAAGTTTTACTTCCCTTTCCAGCCAGTCACTATTATACTTCTTTAATATTATGTGCCTTTTTCCAATGTGTTTGAAAATCATGTTTTAGTGTTGCAACTGCAGGGTGTGTCAGAGTCATTTGATGCTTAAACGTTTTTTGGTGGTTTTTAATTATTTCAGAAACCATTTCCTCAAAGGCTAATACCAATTAATACCATATATGAACAAAAACATTACTCACCTTTTGTGAATGACACTTTTATCACCTATTTTCTAAACAGGAAAGAGGAAGTGTCTGCTTACAATGCAGCCACAGAAAACGGGAAGGGCATTTTAGTACCACATGTCTTTCAGACTCCTTCACATGTAATGTGCTCCTTCACATGTGTAATGTGAATACCTGATTACTGTTCTAATTCATATTGTTCATATGAATTTGAGGGAAAGGCAAGAAAGAAAGAAAGAAAGAAAGAGAGAAAGAAAGACAGAAAGAAAGAAAGAAAGAAAAAAAAGAAAAAAAGCATCATCATCTATGGGCATGTAGAAGCATAGTCCAAACTATGACTGGTGGTAGATTTGCAAATGAAGAAAAAACTATCTCAATCACAGTTCATACACTGAAGGTTGCTTCCAGCTAATAGGTAACTATTCATGAGAAGGAGAGCAAATGCAACACAATTGATAATTGGGGTTTGGGTGATGCAGAGGTGGCTCCTTTCTAACTATGTGGTAAATATACTGATGTTAAAAAGAGGGCATATAAAAGTATTTCAATAAAAAGAATGTATATTCACTATACACAATATACTGGTATAAAGACAATTAAATATTTTCTACAAACATAATAATATTATGCAATCACATCTATGTTTACTATCCATGGAGATGGCAATACTACCTTCCAAGAGGTAGGGCTTTGACCCAAACCAGTAAAAGGTGTAACCATTTTCACTACTTGCCTAGAGCATGCCTAGGTTGCTTGGTGGAAGAAGTATTTACTCTCTCCATGGCACATTTCCCAAGTGGTGATAGGATTCCTTGTGAGGTAGACTGATAGGAACTATCCCTCAATTTTGTAATGACAAAACCCAAATTATCACACATGCCTACCCTACCAAACTCTTCCCCTATCTCATGTACAGAAACCTGTCAGCCTGAAGCGGCTTAAGCACATGTAACATGACTGTGGTAGTGTTTCCACTTCATGTGCTTGTAACTATATGTACTTACAGTACTATAAAATTGATCATCATCCTTGCCATCTAATTCTTCTTTAACTTGCAGTAGTCTGTTATCATCATTATATTCATCCATATCTTTCCAGTAGTCTAATGGTTCTGTAAATATATAATTAATTTGCATTAAAACTACAGAAATCCTCACTAAATTATCACACATAGGAAATTATAACAACAATAAAATATGCACAGCTCTTCATAATAAAATAAATAAACTATAGATATTTAGCACATAGGCATCTCATTTAAAATATCTGCTTTATTTGGCATAACTGTCTAGCTTCCAATTATTACTACAGAAACTTACCAGCTTTAACTGATTCACCATGTGCATCCCTCTCCTGAAAGACAATACAGCTGGTTTTAAACTGACTTACAGGTTCTCAGGAATGAACAAATGAACTGTATATGGTCCTTTTTAAGTTTCATATCATGGCCTAACATTCTTAAAGATTAGCAATATAAGATCCACAAAATTAACCCCTAAACCAAATCATATTTAACTGATATGGTAGAGCTTGTTTTCATGGCTCTTTTGATTCAAGGGGCTTGTGTAGAATTCAGAGGGAGATTAATCTCAAACAGAAAATATTGTCATAAACTTAATTTGATTTTTCTAACAACTCATCACATGTTAATTTATATTGTTTACCTATCATCACAGGAGATTAGAGGACTGGCATTTGACCTCACTCAAATTACATAATATATTAAATATATGTTAATATCTATCTACTCAGATCTATACCTGCTTGTATTGTTTAATTTTCATGGTTTCCAAATGTACAGCATTTGATTTTTTTTTTATTTGTGATATCTATGATATTTACAATATTTATAAAATATTCTTCATCACTGATTTGTCATATGGCTTCCCCCCTCCTCCCCCTTAGTTTAGGAAACTTTAAACTGATGACTACCCTTCTATTCATACCTCCTTTCTTCCAAGGTGAAAGCCATGAATTGAAAAATCGAAAAACTATAAGGATAGCAAACTTAATACAGTACTTGAATTGCAGAGTGGATTGATATCAATATTTAATTAAAGTGTTTTTTTTGCACAGCCTGACATATACTCCTGTTATTTAAAAACTATGTGGTAATAAACCAGTTTCTGGATATGTTACAGTAATTGCATCTCAGTAACAATGTAAAACATGATCTCATATGACCAAAAAGCAAATGGGCCAACTGTATTAACTTATTATGCCTTTTCATAACTATGATTGAGAAATCACCAGAGATATTCAAAGCCAAAATATATAGTTTGTTTTGTGCACCTGGAAACCTGGTGTTACATAGTTTGGATTGTCTACACTTGTGCCACAACTGAAATTTCAAAAGATCTACTAGGGCTTCCATATACAAGGGCTTCCCTGCACTGAAATGTTTAACTTTGTGTTCAAAATATTTGTGTACGTGGCATATCCCCATTTTCATTCATGTCTGTCTGGTACTTAAAAAATCAGGTAGCTGGGGGGACATGAAAGCCTAACTTTAGCGTTTTTTAGAAAGTAGTGGTAATACTAAATTGATGTACTTTGTATTACCATGGCATTTTTTACAAATATTATTTACTATATCTCTCCAAACTAAGGGTATTCTACATGGTTTAAAGTAACAGGTAAAAACACTATACTTCAATGAAATATTTCAGTGCAAGAAGACTGGATGTAACTCTTTCTCTCCTATCTGTGGTATTTTATATGTAAAAAGGACTCTCGCTCTCTGAAGTCAAAAATACTTCATGAAATCAAGCAAAAGGAATAAAATTGCAAAACTTATCCGCATACAATACTTACTTGGCTACACAACAAGTCATTATGCAGATCACCTGATTCTTCCTG